GCCTCCCTGTTCCATGGTGGTCCATTTGCCTCCAGTCATCAGTAAGCCTTGTTTCCGAACTCCAGCCAGTTACTACTTTAGATTCTGGAACCCACAAGACTCTGGGCCTTTGAATGTGCTGGTCCCTCTACCTGTATTTCTCCCCTCCCCAATGCCAACTCATCCTTCAAGGCTCACCTGAGTTGAGTCCCTCCAGGCAGCTTCTCTGGCTCCATAGTAGATGTTGCCGATCATGCATCTGATGGGCCAGCATGACACCTGGTTTATTCAGCTGCCCGCCGCCGCCATGAATCTCTAAATTCCTCAGGGCAGAAATTGTGTCTACATTGTCCCCCCACACCCCAACCCAATACCTGGGATAAGACCTGGCATATAGCAGGTGATCACAGAATTATCCTTGAATGAAGGAATGCCCGAATAATTTGAGTATGTGCAAGTGACTGAATATGTGCAGGAGCTGTGCCAAGCACTGTTGCATGTATCTGAGACCATGAATGCAGCTGTCAATCCATTTCATTGAAGGTCTTCTTTTTCACAGACCCGCCACTTTATCCAACATGATGCCCCCCATTCCTCCGACAGAACCCATGAAAGGGATGCCACTATCCCATTATCCAGACCAAGAAAGCAAAGCCATGCAGCTGTAAGTACACCAGAGGGCAGATGAATGGACCTGCGCCCTTAAAGACCCTATTCTCTGTCCCCCACCCCCCTACCCCCCCAGGCCTTCCAAAGTCATTTTCCCCTCTGACACAGCTTTCTCATCTGTAAATCCAGATACCAACCGTACCTAACACAGGAACTGGTACTAACAGGATCTGTGCCCTTTCCCAAACCCAGTCTCTGAAGCTTATTTCTCAGACTGATCTCTCTGGGCGGCAGACTTCCTGCACACACGTGTTCAGCGCAGGTGCAGCACTCCACGGGGCACAGTTCCAGAATCCGGACCCCAGTGGGCACTTGCCCAAAGTGGGAGCAGACCGACAGCAGAGAAGGCTGACCAGACCCAGGCACACAGCCACAATAAGGTTCAGGCACAGGTTCGCACACCCTCCCCAAGAGCCCGGCCAATTATGCTCCACCGCGACCCACCTCCTGCTAGCCCTAGGCTCGGGGAAATATTTAAAACAATTTTATTCATGAAAATATGCTGTACAATGCACTCTACACGGCCTCGACACGGCACACACGCACACGCACACGCTGACGGCACGGCCACAGTACACTGCCTACGATACGCGCCAGGGACGCCGCGCCCGCCACCGGTCCCGACCCGCCGCGTATAAATATGGGAGAGGGGCCAGAAGGGGTGTTGGGTCGGGGGTGGAGTGGGTCTGGAACTGAGACCCCGTTGGGGAATCGGGGACCAGTGCTGAGTTCAGGAAAGAAAGAGCTAGGGCCTGCCGGGGTGGAGGCGGGGCTGAGCCGCGGGGTGGGGACGAGGGTGGTGTAGTGGATAAGAAGGTGTTTTTCCGAAGGGGATCACAGGCTCCGGGTGGGTGAGGCTAAGGCCCGTGGGGAAGAGTGCAGTTAGGAATCCGATCGGAATTTCGAGGGCCCTGAAATTGAGATGGAAGAATGGGAGATGCCCTCGCCCCATCTTAAGGTTCAGCTTCCCAGACCAGCACCCACCGCAGGCAGCCCCATATTGCCCCTCACTACTCCGTGGTCAGCCAGGAGTACCACCCCGCCCAGACTCGTTGCTCCAGGGGAGTGTGGGCAGGAATGGTGGGGTGTCCCTGCCCCACCCAGCCACTTCCCTCAGCGGTCACCTTCTAGGGAATGCACAGCACGGGGCTGCAAACCGGGATGGGGCATAGGGATGGGGTGGGAAGACTGCGGGCCCGTGGGGGCGGGGCGGGAGCACCCGAAGGAAGCGCAGCAGGAAGGCTGCCCTCAGCCTGGCACCCAGCTCTGGTTGGGCGGCGGAGCCCCGGCCAGGCCAGGCGGTGGCGGAGGCAGGGCCGAGTCGAAGTTGAAGTCCATCTCGTCGCTGTCCATGAAGTCGTTGAGAATGATGGACTCCACGTCGCACTCCAGGCTCCCGCTGAACATGTCGAGGTCCAGGTCGGCCGGAAAGCGGTCGGGTGCGGCACCCAACGGGCCAGCGGCCGCATAGGGCCCCGGCAGCGCGTCCAGCAGGAGGCCGCCCGGCGGGCCCCCAAAGACCGCCGCGTGGCCAGGAGGCACCAGGCCCGCGGCGCCCGCCTCGCCGGGCAGCGTCATAAGGCTGATAGGGTGGGCTA